GTATTAATAATGGCCAGTCTCTTCGCGAACGAAGAACCGGGGAAGGTCTTTCCACCTTCCAGCCTGCGCATTGGATTTTTTAGGTGAGACACAGTGTGCGCGGAACTGAGCCCACCCTTTAATCCTGAGGTTCATCTGCCGGGGCCAAGCACGCTTGGACGGTGGCAGTGAGGTCCTCAGGACGTAGATGGATTGCCTTACAAGGCTAGCGAGCTCCATCTGCCCGGGGAGTGTCCTAACCGGGAATCGAACCCAGATCTCAGCGTTGACAACGCTGTGGTTTAGCCACTGCACCACCAGGGGCACTCAGAGAATGTATTACCACTCCATGGAACCCGGTGGCATTCCATCGATATGGTTCTTCTGGTCTTCTTGGTGGTGGGGGTCCCACAAAATATAGCCTCCAATGGATTAGGATACATTCAGGAGATGCCAGGCACCTCCCTGAGCAGGGCAGGGTAGCTGTGCAGCTTCTTTGGACAGGCTCTGGATTTGTTGCCTCACTTGAATCACATGCAGTCCCCTGGTGGTAGAAGGCCTCAGGAATGAGTCTTGGCGGGGGGGGGGAGGTATTTTGGGGGTCTTTGGTGGCTTATGAGCCCTTCTCAGGTGCCTCTCACATGAATATCCCATGTGTACATGGTCTTCCCAGAGCCAGGGGTCGGGGGTGAGGAGAGGGGATGGAGTGGGGGTGGTTTACTCCTTCAGTTTGATGTGGAGAGATTTCACTATCACACACCCAAAACCCTTCTCCTTCACTACTCCCTAGGCCCAGCTAGGGATGATTCTTAACATAGATACAGTCTTTTTTCCTGGGTCTTATTTACTTCTCCTCAGACTTGAGATGATTAGACAATGGTCTTATCTCAAGTCCCCTTCCACAGTCCAATGATGGTGGCCGAAGACAGGCAGTTGCTTCCTTGCAGTTTGACAAAAAGTCATTCTATGATTTTGACAATGTTAAAGACATTACAGAAATTTCAGTTCATCTCACAACATCTCTACATTCCCTGACAGTGTGTGACCTCAGCCCAGTTTTGCCTGGGTTTATGAAAATACTGCAGCAAATTAGGTACTTTCAAAACAAACAGGCAAACAAACAAACAAACAAGCAAATAGAAAATTTTTAAGACTTTAAGTCTCTAAAGAGATCCCAGACAGTCCCTGCATAGTGCAGTTATGGCCAATCTGCTTTACAGAGCCAAATCTTGAAAAAGATAGACGTAAACCACTCAGTACCATCACACTGCAGCCAGGGATCACTTGTTTTTGACAGACTGCTTCATTAGATAACTGAAATGTCAGTGGAAGTCGGAAGATTGGATTTTTTCTTGAGATCCACAGCACTAAATGATTTTGTTCAATACTACCCTAAACATCTCACAGAGGCATGGCAGAACAGAGGCTTGAGCTCAGGTGCTCTGAGCGCCAGGGTAATGAAATAGCAACTTCTTGACATCCCTTGCTAGCCTCAGCTACCCATGCAGGCCTGGATGGTCAGGGGATTTTGTATGCACTGCCATTTGCTAATCCCATTAAAACTCTGACTGTGGTTTTAACACTCCTCTGTACAGTTCAGCTGAGAAGACCTCCGGATATTACCTTCAGAATAACCCAAACAGTCGCACCTCACTCCATACTCTGTTCTCTCTCCAGGGACAATTAGCTTTTGAAGGACACAATTTCCATTCTGCAGCTATAGATAAATTTCATTAATTCCCAGGAAACAGGCTCTCACCTGAAGACCATATTCCCTTTATAAACACAGCTGGAGGTATGGTGAGGTTTTTGCCCTCAGTGCTGACTATTCTGCATACTGGTTCAAGAGAAAGTAACTCTCATTTAAACAACAAGAAGAGTACATTGTCACAAGGTGCATAATTATTTTGCAGAAACAAGGTTTTTAGGAGCAGATTCATCTTTTTTGAACCCCAGGTGAGTTAGCTGGGAGAGTGGATGGCCTTCATCCAGTGTGATAAGAAGCAATAAAATCCAAGGCAGACAGCCCGTAAGTTCTGTTAGTCCAGCCTCGTTATGTTAATGAGTTACACAAAGGAGGATGGTTAGTAGCTCTGGGGCATTGGCAGAGGAAGAGAGAACAGGAACAGTGAGAAAAAACATAATTAGTGATTGTAAAATAGAAAGGGGGCAGGAAAAAATACTGTAATGAACTCCATAACTGGTGTTTCTGCTGAGACCATAATTCTTATAATCCAGTGGTTATGAATTCCTTTTCTAGGCTTTCTTTAGAAGGTTGGGTTTTTTTAGTTTTTTGTTGCATTAGGAAGGGATTTTTTTCTGGAAAACGCTTTTCCATTGATAACTACAGGTTTCTGTCCTTTACCAGTTCCCTGCATGAGTTCTTTCTGATGTATAGTGGTTGTTAAGTGTCACCCACACAATTTCCAGGAGGACATTTTGTGCACTGCGTGACGTATATCAAATTCCGGGGTAAAAGTGTATGAACCATGTGTTTTTCTGGTTCTGCTGCAAGAGTACTAATTGTGATGGCTGTAAAGATGCCTTGGCAAGTACAACATTTATTTTGGTATGTGCTAGATTACAGTAGGATTGCTGCCACTAGTGAGGCTGACAGATTGGAATATTACAGGAAAGTTGGTGCTAGGGAAAAAAAATGTTTCAATCTTCCTTCAAAACTGACTGCAGGTTTTTTGCTTGCCCTTTTGTTTGATTGATTGATTGGGGGGGGTTCTCTGTTTTTGTTGTTTGTTTGTTTGGGGGTTTTGTGTAGATTCTGGTAGGAACAAACAAAGAAGAATATTTAGAGATGACAGCACAGTTTTTTACCCCCTCTTTCACAAATCGAGGGTCATTTACATTTTTGCTGAACAGATGCACTTCTTTTTCATTCACCCATAAAAGCAAGAAGTAGTCTTGGATCCACAGTTACGGATCATGTAAAAATCTGTGTGGGCAAGTGTCTGTGCTTATACCTTCTAGTGGGCACATCTGAACCATGAGTCTGGAATTCCTAAATGCTAAGTCCAGTCCTGTGAGAAAAAGATTGAGATAATAATGTCTTTCATTTCTATTTTTCTTTTAAGAGCAAAAAGTGCCATATTGTTATGGAAGTTCTTCAAATCCAATCTTCCACAGACAGAAAAAAAGGATAAGAAACACAAAAGATAATCCACTAGAAAAGTAAGACTGAAAAATAATAGTTAGCTTTCTTCATCACTGCTGGAAAGCATAGTAAAATAATACAAGTCTGATGACAATGAGTGAAGCCATATAGTCCCAAAGGCATCCTCACAGTATAAAAGCTTGCCTTGCAGAGAATAGAAGTGCATTTTCAGGAGAAAGCTTTATAGTTTGTTCTATTTTACATTGTTAATCTTGGTACAGTTTGCTGATTTCATTTAAATATTTCTGAAAACATCTCAGTTTATTCAATTACAGTTGAAAAGATAGTACAGAGTATTTATTATTGTTACCCTATGTAAAGCATCTAGTTAAACTGCAGTTATTCTGGGGAACAAAATCCAACCAGTGTAATAATTATCCAGCTATATGGATCAGGGATCTGCTTACTCTTCTCATCTATTGATGATGGAAAACTTCTAGAAGGGAATACAGAGAAAGGACCGAACACCAATAGCTAAAGACAATATATACATCCATGGTACTTTCTCTGTATCTTAGTGTGACACTGCCTGTAATAAAGCTGTTTCAGTTGCCTTTAAATTCTATCTCAAACCTGATTTACTCTATCTACAGGGAACATAGTCACAAACCGTTGCTCTCTGGGACTAGTTAGAACAACTTCTGTGTTGAACAGATAAAATAAATACAATCTTTTATAAAGAGATACAAGAAAATAAAATCCAAGTTACAGCTGCATCTTATTTATATCAGCACATACGCTTAGACATATGTGCTTCCCACTTTGAGTTTGTTCTTAACAAAATTGCAAGCTGGAGATCTGACAACTGGGTATGGCCATTGTCCTTGTCTCCCTTTTCTTAGATGATGGTGTGATTTGACAACGCATACAACTTTGTGTACTCCAGCAGGTATCACAGTTCCATTCAGATTTATATCCTTCAGGTTCTCCTGCTCAGAAAAGATTTCTTCATGTTTTAATCCTTCTACCACCAAGATAATTGCTGCTCATATTTTGAAAAAAATATTATTACCCTTTCAGTATATGTTTTGCTATCATCTGTGCTGGTACCCTGATCTAATGTGGCAACTCACAAATGGAGATGTCCTTGTTTGTGTTGTCAAACTAGATTCCCTTTATAGACAAAAGGGAGAAATTGGTATTTCAGAGTATGCGTTATTTCACAAAAACTTTCGTAGAAAAACTGACTAGACAAACAATACCCAAAAATACCTTTATTTTCCTTTGACTGTGTATTAACCTATGTTTGCAAGGCCAAGTGTAGACACCTAGCTCGGATGTAGAAATTTAGGAGCTGAATTAAGACCCTAGGCTAAGATTCTGTTGAAAATATACATTTAGATGCATATATGTAGGAGTCCACGTTCTGAGATAGGTGTCTAGACTCCCCCTAGAGGAACTGAATACATAGAGCACACAAACACTGGTCAAGATACCGAAACCTAACATCTCCTATTCCAGGAGGGCACAGGTGTTCAGCAAGTCCTATGTCTTCTAATGTGTGCAGTTACCTGACGTACTTCAAAGTATCTCAAATAATACTAGTTGCTAATATTTAGGCAACTGAATTTACCGCTGAATTAGTTTTCTTCTTTGACTCTAACAGAATCCTAGAGCACAAAGCATGGATACAGACACCTCCATTTAGGTTCCCTAATGTGGAATCCAATCCCAGTCCTACTGACAGACATTAGGAAGGGCTAAACCCTCCCTCTCTCAGGTCCTGATGATGAATAGATTCTGTGAAGAATTGGGCCAGTTCTTAACTATATTGTAATCAGGTCATTAAGTGCTTTTTCATTTGGCACACCAAGACTCAGATCTCAACATGAAGCCCTTTGTCACATTCAGAAATATATATATCATAAAAACGCATCATTACATGAACAAATTTATATAATCATGTACAACACACAGGGGAATAATGCACAACTTAGTACTAGTTCTTGATTGCAATTTAACACAATGACAATCAACTTCCCTGGGATGATAATGACTCTGGGGTTATGGAGCACATTTTCAACTCCAAGTAACCCTGAGCCTGCAAGTCATCTACCACGTTTGAGGACTTAACCCTTAATTCCTCTGTCCTTAGTTTAGGTTCACAACTGAGAAATGTAAGTAATTTGCTCAGCAAGCCTAAGCTTCTTCAGACCATAGTTACACCCAGGAACTGTGTATTGCTGTCTCTTGACTCTAGGACCTTTTCGTACCATAGTTGAGTTACTCTGTGTTTAGTCGCTCAGCATAAATGAGCTAAGTCTTACTTTAAAACTAGGGGTTCTCTGCAGTTATTTATCTTTATTTTTGGACTGCCTAGCAACACAGGGTTAAGGGGACACAGCTGGGGCTGTTCAATATCACTGAAGTAAAATAACTGGGAATAATAAAGTAGCAATTCTGACACAGGCAAAACTCTCATTAAAATGAACTAGGAGCTTGGCTTTGGGGGCCAAGAGAGCAGATTAATTCTAACTATTGTCTTGGCCCAGAATTAAAAATACCTAGAGCATTGGAAATAAGTGTTCTGAATTTCAGGACATGGAAAAATAAAAACTTGCTGTAATGCCAGGAAATGGATGATCCTGCCATCTAATATAATACTAAGGTATTGAAGCGTGAATGTTTCCTAGGAGATAAAGTATAGACTACTTACATCTGAGATGTACCCTCATTTAATTTCCTGGTCTTTTTCAAGATCTCTTAGTTCCCTGGGGTAGGACAAGACAGCTGCCCTTGTCTTCCTAATTTTCTGCTCTCTTGACATTTGGTACTCCATAAACCAGCTAACTGACTTAAATCACAGATTGTCTTGTGAAATAAGGATAGCCTGCAGATAGTCTTATACTGTGTGTAATCTGATAGTCATATGGATTACAATTGTTGTAAGCAGTGCTCGTTTCTGATTGCTGACTAAAGAAAAGAAACCTTTATGTTTAAAATCAAACAGGCAGTCACAAAACCTCAGAAGTATTCTTAGCTCTGATAGTGACTTACTTGGTGACTTAATTAAGTCCATTATCACTCGATTTTCAGCAGTGCTGAGAGCTGTTTGTTTCTATTGACTTCATCTTTAAA